ACAAAGTCTGTCTCCTGTTATGAAATGAGAGTGAACTGCCTAATTCTTTGCAGGCATGTTGGTTGTTTGCTTCTTCTAGTGGTAGTAATTAAAAAATATTTCTATCATTCAGTGGAACAAAATTAGCTAAACATTTAAGTCCCCAGCACAGGAGCATCAGCTCTTTCTCCTCATTTATAAAAAAATTAGACACTGGGGTTTAAGTCTATTCCTGAGGTTATTTGTCAAAGGAACTTCAAATCTGTAATACCTTATGCAGAAACTTCAAATCTGTAGTACCTTATGCAGACAAGACAAGAATATGTTCCAGAATGAAGCAATAACAGCCAAATTCAGTCACAAGAACTTTCTTTATCAGTTTTCTGTGGACACTTTTCCAGTCTAGGCTCAAAGCAATAGATAACAACTTCCTCCTTCATTGAGGAAATACATCCTACATTTTTAGCCTCGAAATTTAAGGAAAGCTGGAAAGTAATTGTTTAATTAAAACCTGAAGGAATGTGAGAGGATGACTAACTGCATGACTTGGCTCCAATGGCATCACCAAATTACTCTTCAAAGAGCCTCCAGCAAGCCTGGGCTCTCATGACGTAACAAAGCCAGTGTTTTATTTATAAGGTTATCGTGGCTTTGCTGTAACAACACATGAAAATGTGCCATTGCTGCTGGGCATACAGCCCATGTGAACTTGGTAGGGTGTTGGCAAAATACCAGTGCAAACAGTCTCAGTGTATGAACTAACACCAATGTGTGACATAAATGCAGTAAGAAGATTTTAAAAACAAAGGCTTTGAGGTTATCATCCAAGAGGCCAAAGCAGATGAATTTGAGGAGGAAGGCAGAGGTGCAAAAAGGCTGCAATTCTTTCCTTGTGCAAAAACCAGGTCTTGGAAAGATGACAGAAGAAGAAATTGCAGTAAAACAGCAGGATGAAAATCTGACTGAGGAGAGAGAAAATTTCACACTGTCCAGTTTGAGACAACATTGTGGGCATGACTGATACTGATTTGCCTTAAGAATTTTAATAGAAATTATGTGGTAATAAATATGTGCCAAGTGTCTTAGCATTCTTCAGTGACTGTGACCTTCATCCATTCATCAGCTCATTTATTTGCTAAATCCACCAGCAGTTTCCTTTGCTACAGGACACCTGCCCTAAAGCCCAGCACTGGCCCAAGAACATTGGCATAAATTAACCTTGTAAAACTGTAGGTTAGAAATACAAATAGTGGTTGCTTGCCAGAAGGGAAGAACTACTGACCCAGTCTTCAGCTGGGGAAGTTTCAGCCACGTCTGACCAGGACTGTACCTGCTGCCCATGCCAGCAGGGCTTCAGTGCTGGCTGGGACACACTACTGCACACAATCAGTCTTTGAAAGACTCCTTGGACTTCTGTTCCTGTGCCAGCTGTGGTGTGGGCAGTCTTTGTCCAGGAACTGAGAGAACAAACCCATTTCAGCAGGCAATGGCCAGAATTTGTATTTGTTTGAATTTCTGTATTTAAACTCATAAGAGGTCTAAGGAAAACAAAACAAAACAAAAAAAAAGTGAAAAATATTCCTGATTGAGATTTCACACCAGGAAAATTAGAAGTCACTCCATAGAATTTAGTGGTATAAACCCCCACAGCTTAGCATGTTTAAGGTGCTAAAAATGATATTTCAGACAATGCTGCCATCTGTATTTCAAAAGAGAGGTTACTCTGAAAAGGGATGTGTGTGCATGTTAATACAGGGTTACAGGTATTGCCCTGATCCTGCTTATTGTGCTCTTACTGAATTTGGTGAGAGAAACTATTTCTAGACAAAAAAAAAAAAACACCCCAAAAACAACAACAAAAAAAACCCACAAAAAAAAAACCAACCAAAAAAACCCCAAAAAAACCCCAAAAAACAAAAAACCCCACCCCAAACCAAAAAAAACCAAAAAAACCACCACCAAAACAAAAAACCGACTGATAAAGTAATTTCTCAGATTCTGAATATCTTTTACATAAATTTTTTTTCTTCAGTTATGCAATTTTATGTCCCTTGGGTCCTTTATTGTACAATGTCAATCACCTACAATTGCAGTGGACTTCAAGTTACTGTCGTGGGCACAGCAAGATCTAAAGTGATAAGCAAAGCTGCTGGTTTAAGCTATTAATGTAACTATTTTAAAAAGTTATTGTTAGAGAAAGAACTTCCTGGAACACACAGTTCATTGCTTATTGCTCCTTCTATTCCTTGGATCTCTCCTGCATCATAGTTGGTTTTTCTCTGGAAATCATTAAGGCTTGATTATAGCAAGGATACACATCTATTTTCGTAAAGCTCCCAAGTGAACATGACATGCCATCTTCCAGAGCCTCTATTTTGATCCTGAAAATTGCAGGCCTCAGGTTATCATCAAACCTACTAGATTAAAAACATTACTAAGCTCAGTCTTGAATAATCAAAATGCTGTAAAACATATACAAGCTGCAGAGCAAACAAGGCTGCTGGGAAGAAAACAAGTATCTAAAATTCTGATGATCAAGAAACCATTTTCTTATACTTTAGGTAATCGTTTTTAAAAGCTTAAATATAATTTCTCTTAGAGTTTCTGCCTGCAGTTTTAAGGACTTTTCCACTTCACATGCTTCAACAGACATGTTAAATTGGAGTGAACAGCATCACCTACTCCTCAGCTGTAGGACATCATAAGGATATGATAAATGATTGATGGGATAAAAAAGTGGAGGAGAAATGAACATTCTGGCTGTGTTCTGGACTGGCATTATTGCACTAACAGCAATAACAAAAATGTATCTGAATATCTAAAGTTTTATGTTATTTTTAAGTGTATGTATTCTGGAGAGATTGAATTTAAACCCTGCTTTCCTCAAGATTAAAAAGAAAATCCAGAGAAAATTGCATTCAGTCATAACATACAATATATTTTCCAGATTACAGCATTGTGGCTCAGCAGTAATAATACATTTTTCAGAATTTCATATTGATATTGAAAATCAATATCCATCCCTAGTGTCAGATAACTGACACTGCCCCTTTAGGTCCCTTTGTGCACCCATAAAAGTGGCAGCACAGGTGAACCACCACTCTCCACGCTGGTTTTGGAGGCAACCAACAGCCTGAGCAACATTATCTGAAATGAAAGCAAATGAAGAGACTTTTTTCAGTTCCCATCTTGCTCCTGAACAGGGAGGGAGAAGGGAGAAGTAAGGCAGAAGTTCCACAGGTCACTAAATCAGGAAAAGGAGCAGCATATGACCACTGATTCATTTGTGCCACTTACAGCACTTGTCCCTCTTGTGCAGGACACAGGCCAGGCTTAGAGAAAACAAGATATAAACCTCAGAGTCTAGATTTCAGCTCTTGAATATTGAACTACCTACATTTTAATACAGTTTAAACCTTAATGAGAAGGATTCTTCCTCTAGGGTTTCCAGGCTGCTGTGCTGCACTGAAGCCGTTATCCTGGGATGTCAGGCTTCTCCAAACAGTGTGATCAATGCTGAAAGCCACTGTGTCACCCTGGCCAGTACAAGGGCTGCAGTGTCACACTGACAATGCCTGGAACAGGAGTAGGGTGGTGGCAGGGACACCTGAGCTGTAGTTGCTGTCAAGATGGGACTGAGGTGGGGTGGGAAGCAGGGAAAGGTGATGCTCTTTTTATGAAAGGGGGAAGATCCCCACCCTGCCAGCCAGAATACCAATCTGTGCTATTTCTGCAGCTTTCTGCACACATCTCATTAAAGGAGAGATGATGATGAACTCTGCTTCTAGCTGTTCATCACCAGATGAAAATACAGCCTGGGGGTCCAGATCCACCCCTCACTGATGCAATTTTATTTTGAAATGAACTCCCTGGGGAGACGAGATCTGGTCAGAGCCTTCACTGTGGTCCAAGGCAAGCTCTGGGTGCCATTTCCCTGAGCAACACCATGTAAATTGCTGAACCTAAAGAGAAAGCTAACTGTGATGCCCAGTTACCCCACAGGTAACTGGTGTTATTTACCTATTAGAAACTTACTGATAGTTACATAAAATACCAGCAGAAAAGCTCTACAAGGACTTGTGTGAATCAATAGTGATCCTTTGCTGCAGTTGCAAGACCACTGACAAATTCAAAGTAAAGCTCATTGCACAGTCTTGATTCACAGCAGCAAACACTGGGATGGTGCTGCTATGAAGAAGTTATATCAGTAAAAAAAAAAAGAAGCAATTTAACCCCTCAGCTGAGAGTACCTACTCCAGATATTCAGCCAAATTTGCAAAAATTACATTTGAAAGTGAATATAAAGGTAAATATGCAATTTCTTCACAAATACTCATCCTTCATACTGTTTCCTTCAATCTTAGTAAATAATCAAGTGGACAAATAACATGAATGTTTCAGAAGTCAATATAAATGAAATGAACTGTCACCATGGAAAGTATTAATATACTTAATCATAAAATTAGATTGTCTTATTTGCAATTTTGACTGAAGTGATGGTTTAAAAAAAATATTTAAAAAAATCTCCTCAGTATTACACTAGAGAACTATCAGCAGCCCCAGGCTGGTCACGTTCCAAGCAGCAGTGTGTGCACAGAGCTTGAAGACAAGTTCAGCATTTATGTCATGGGCACTCTTACAGAACTCTCAGACACTAAACAGAAGTGTCTACTTACCACAGCTCTCAAGCGTTCTTTTGCTTATTTTCTTTGCCAGAGAGCAGGGGCTGGGGCTGCAAACTGGCCCTACACTGTCACCAGCCCTCTGGATGCCACAGTTTGGAGTCCTCACCTTAAGGCTCTTTGGCCACCAGCCTGCATTTCCCCAGTGTATTGGCAGCACCTCAGAAAGCAAATTAATATATGGCAATGGGAACAAGGGTGAAATATTCTGAGGTTTTGACAACCACTCCTTCACTCAGCATTATACCCTCCTTCAGAAAATACCTCAGAACAAATTAACATACATGTATTTTTAAATCAGTCATACTGTTGTGGGAATAAAAAGTGCTAAGAAACAAGTCAGATTCATAAATGAAAATGTATTTCACCTTTATACATGCTATACAGGTCATGCAAATACAGAAATCTACAGGTTATACAATGACACCATAGTAAAATATAATATGACATTTGTCAAACACAGTGTATTACAGCAAAACAAACTGTTTCTGTTTGTTTATTATTTAGGAAATAGATGAAGGACTAATTTGGAAGACACAGTACCATGCTACAGCTTACTGCACAGTCAAAAGAAAGTATTTCTTTGAAGTACACTAACATAAATAGAGCTGGGTTGTTGTAGGTATGATTTTTTTTTAGCCATTGCACATCATGTCACTGGTTACTTTCCCACTGCTGACTTTTAAGAGCACAAGAATGGTGCTACAACTGAGGTCAATCTATGCTGTGAACTCTTACACATGGAAAAAAAAGAAGGAAAAAAAAGCCAAACACCCCCCCCCATCCCAAGTTTTCATATCTTTTGTGTTAGTGTCCAAATAGAGTTGTATTTATAATTTATTCTTATAAGGGACTGGACAAAATGTCATCAAAGCAGCACCTGATCTAGCATAAAGGTTCACCAAGAGAAAGAAAGTTAGCACTGTGCAGCACATGACGTCCTGACCTCGTACACCTCGACGTGGGCTGTTCCATAGAGATGTTTACAGAACGTTAAGGGCGCCCAGTGTTCCCGACGTGCATTTTGGCCTTTGTGTTTCTGACACTCACATATTGTTTTGCTGCTGACCAAATCCCATTTTGTTGAGCCTACAGGAAGACAAAATACTTCTCTGTGTGATAGAAAGCCTGCTGGTATCAATCAAGTGTCTGCATATTCAAAGGTTAATGTGTCACCCTCCTGATCACTCACTCGGATCTACTACAGCTATACTACACATATATTAAGGGGTTATACTTGGCATTTTGCCTAATTTGCTTACAAGTGTTACACAAATATGATTTCAAACACAGTTGATAGTTGCTCCCAGACTAATTAATATTAACTGGTAAGTGCCACTAGTGACTAGAAGTGTCAACATAATCATAAAGGGATAGTTCCCCCACTCCACAGTCAATAAGAAGGCTCTTTTGATTCCAGCAGCTATATGTTTTTCAAGCCTCTTCAGCTACAGTTTTGAATTACACACCTCATAAAAGTTGCCAATAACTCCTTATTAAAGACAAAAAAAGATAGGCACAAAGCTAAAGTACAGTATATTATTTTGTTTCAATGCACTGTGGACAAACCCCATCATTATTTACAAGAAAAAGATGTCTAAATGGATGTATGATCAAGCTTAGGAAGGAATTATTTAAAAATAAAATGCACAGGTAAAAATCACAGTGAAGTGTTGAGATGAATTTTAAATTAAAGAAGAAATAAGTGCTTTATTAGCAGCTAAAGCTCAAATTCTAATGCACGCTCTGTCTTCCCTGAAAATCAAGGCTCTAGATCATTGGTTTCTACCAAAAGCAGCCAATTATTCAACATATTCCCTGGGAAGACAAGGTATATTCAGCTCTGATTATTTGAAATCCAGTGTTCAAGGACTGCAGAAGCTTTTTCAAGTGACAAGTTCATATTTTACTGCCAGTAGCATCACAGGGATATATATCCTCCAGAAATGGTTACCTCTGTCAATCAAAAAGAGAGAGAATATCAAGTCAGCTACACAGGTTTGATGACCTCAGTTTTGCTATTTAGAGAATATACTCTTCCAAAAAACCTGACCCACGATTTTGTACTTTGAAACTGTGACTGAAGCCCACTATGGGTTTTTACTATGCTGGCTTTTCAGGGCATTCTACACTGCAAGTTTTACAGCAGCAGAGAAAAGAGTAAGCAGCAGCAAGAAGTACCATGGCCTAGACTGGCCCCACTTTTAACTGTTTTCTTCATGCAAATAGGCTCCAAAGACATACAGGGAAAGTATTGTATTAATGAAGAAATTCTGGATGCCTAAATGAAATGTTTCCATTTACCAGATACTTATGGTTGCTATGATACAATCAGTTTGCATATGATGCCAATTCACAGGCAGCTGCAAATCTCAAAGATTATGTTGAATTTAAATACCTAGGAGAACAGCTTTCTTTCTCTCCCCACACTGCCATGTACAAATGCTGGAAGCTGGGAAGTAATCACAGCAATTTATCATAAGATGTTTATCACAATACTGTACCTCTATCTGTTCTGCTGAAAAGCAAGGCTGTCAACAGATAGAATTAAGTGTATTTTCTTGTCCTGGGCTGTTAAATCCCTCAATCAAGTTTTTGTTACAGTCATCTAGGCTAAGGGTATCACTGGACATCTTGGAGTAGGTAGCTTGGCCTGTGAAATCCAAGAGGTCTTCAAGAGCCTTGGCATTACTTGTCCCATTTTGGTCCAAAGAAACACCAGGCATGAGTTCATTCATGGGTGAGTATTCAGGGATAGAGATAAGTTCTTCTTTTGAAACCGGGCTATAAAAAAGATAAAGGAAGAAAGACACAGAATTAGAGGTCTCTAACTTTTCATTAAGCAACAATCAAGTTAAACTTCTGACTTCTTAAGTCAGAAGGCATCTTAAGGCAGCTGCAGCAAGCTTTTACCTAGAGAATGTCCTAATCCAAAGAAAAAAACATTGGGCTGTTCAGGATGGAAGGTCATACCTAACCTATCCCTTAATGGTTAAGGTTTGTGGTAGCTGTGTAGCATGAGCACTCATCTCCTAAACCCACATGTCTGATAGTTCACTGAACATTATTTCAGTCCCTGCACCATTCCTTTACCTAAATGTTTATTGCATCTTTCACATTGCTGTCCTGATTCCACAAACACTTCCTTAAAGCATATACATTTCAAAACTTAAATAAAAATTTATTTCTTAAGACCTTATGATATGCTTCAGACATAAAAATCCCATAATTAAACAAGAAATGCTCCAACCAGCTGCTTTACTGAGACTAACAAGGCTAGTGCATTTTAGTTTGGAGAAGGCAGAGGAAGGCTTTCACAGACATTATTTAAACTGTGATGTGGTGGTGGATGAGTTGAAGGCAAAACTGTCATACATGAAATCCTACAACACTAAACCTACACTGCAAGTTTTACAGCAGCAGAGAAAAGAGTAAGCAGCAGCAAGAAGTACCATGGCCTAGACTGGCCCCACTTTTAACTGTTTTCTTCATGCAAATAGGCTCCAAAGACATACAGGGAAAGTATTGTATTAATGAAGAAATTCTGGATGCCTAAATGAAATGTTTCCATTTACCAGATACTTATGGTTGCTATGATACAATCAGTTTGCATATGATGCCAATTCACAGGCAGCTGCAAATCTCAAAGATTATGTTGAATTTAAATACCTAGGAGAACAGCTTTCTTTCTCTCCCCACACTGCCATGTACAAATGCTGGAAGCTGGGAAGTAATCACAGCAATTTATCATAAGATGTTTATCACAATACTGTACCTCTATCTGTTCTGCTGAAAAGCAAGGCTGTCAACAGATAGAATTAAGTGTATTTTCTTGTCCTGGGCTGTTAAATCCCTCAATCAAGTTTTTGTTACAGTCATCTAGGCTAAGGGTATCACTGGACATCTTGGAGTAGGTAGCTTGGCCTGTGAAATCCAAGAGGTCTTCAAGAGCCTTGGCATTACTTGTCCCATTTTGGTCCAAAGAAACACCAGGCATGAGTTCATTCATGGGTGAGTATTCAGGGATAGAGATAAGTTCTTCTTTTGAAACCGGGCTATAAAAAAGATAAAGGAAGAAAGACACAGAATTAGAGGTCTCTAACTTTTCATTAAGCAACAATCAAGTTAAACTTCTGACTGTTCAGAAACTACCAGGCATCTTAACGCAGCTGCAGCAAGCTTTTACCTAGAGAATGTCCTAATCCAAAGAAAAAAACATTGGGCTGTTCAGGATGGAAGGTCATACCTAACCTATCCCTTAATGGTTAAGGTTTGTGGTAGCTGTGTAGCATGAGCACTCATCTCCTAAACCCACATGTCTGATAGTTCACTGAACATTATTTCAGTCCCTGCACCATTCCTTTACCTAAATGTTTATTGCATCTTTCACATTACTGTCCTGATTCCACAAACACTTCCTTAAAGCATATACATTTCAAAACTTAAATAAAAATTTATTTCTTAAGACCTTATGATATGCTTCAGACATAAAAATCCCATAATTAAACAAGAAATGCTCCAACCAGCTGCTTTACTGAGACTAACAAGGCTAGTGCATTTTAGTTTGGAGAAGGCAGAGGAAGGCTTTCACAGACATTATTTAAACTGTGATGTGGTGGTGGATGAGTTGAAGGCAAAACTGTCATACATGAAATCCTACAACACTAAACATAAGGGGTGTCCAATGCTACCAATAAGAAACTGGGTTTAACAGGGATCAAAGAACATCATCTACCAGTGAGACTGTACTGTACAGACTGCTTCCAGGTGAGGTCCTAGACACAAAGAGGTGGTAAAAAAAAAAGGAGTTGGAAAAACTCAAAGGCAACATGTCAACCAGTGGCCATTTAAAAGATCAAGGCAAACTTGTGCCTTGAATATCCCTAAGGCTACACTTCAGTGATTTGGGATTGCAGGAAGTGGTAGGCTCATGTGCTCTCCCTCACTAGTTTTTCTTCTTGATACTTTCTGAGACCAAATAATGGGCTGTACAGTCTTCTGCTTGGTCCCAGCAGGGCATTTCTTATATATTTATGCATATTTGCTGGAAATACTAAGACAGTATAAGAGGTTCAACTGACTGAGGAAGAACAGTATTAAAATTCCATGTTTAAAATTCAGATCTAGCTTTGACTTAGCAGCCTTAAATTGACTGCCTAGATATATATATGCAAATAAAAAAACCTTAAAATTAAAATTCCTTCTTTTCTGCACATCCTTTGATGTGAATGTGAAAGTCTTTAAAAGCACAAAGTTATTTACTGATTTCTATACATTTCTACTTGTTAAGTAATTAAAATTCTACATCCATTATTTTCTTTATTCTGTTTGTATGGAGGCAGAAATGCTCATGAATCACAGCTATGCAGCCAAATCAAAAAATAGTGACATCAGAACAGTATCTACAGTAGCTGCTTTCACAAAACTGTCTGAAAGGTTTGGGCAAACTTGCATGGAATCCATAAGTAAGAACTGTGGAAGGATTTCAGAGTTCCCTCCCCCACATACGTGAGAGTGAGATGAGGTTTTGTGGCTCTTGTGCCAAACAGCCAGGAGCATCCTGGCAGGAGCAGAACACATCCAGTGCACACCCAGCTGTCACTGTGGGGGCACATGAGAAGGAAAGCAGTAAAGTATTAACAAACAAAACCTAAAATCCTGTCTCATATGAATTCCACAGCCCTGTAGGTAGATCCAGTCTGTACCTCACATCCATGGACTGAACCTCATCTGTTGAATCTTCCATGCTGTTAGATTTCCCATCAACAGCTTCCAGCTGAATAAGTCCTGAAACTGACTTCAGTCCATTAGCAACTACATCTTGGGAAGGGATGACAGAAGCAGCACTTTCTAAGCTTTTATTTTTCAGGCAGGTTGCCAATCCATTGATCTCTGTAAAAGAAAGTTAGAGTTATGACAGTAGAAACTTTATTATTTAAATAGTTTAAAGTTATAGACTGAGTAGAAAGGAAGACTGCCAATGCAGTAAGACTCAGTTTAATCCATGACTCATCATACTGTACTGTCATTCCTCTATTCCACTCCAAAACTGCTCTTTATGCTACATCTTTTAAATTTGAGAAAACAGGAAGAGAATGTTCTATATTTTATGTCATGTAGTAAAAACCTTAGCCTGGGGAAGTAAACAAAATATAGATAATGTCAGATATATTTTATTTAATAATCCTTTAAAATGCATATGGGGTTTTTCTTATGAAGTGAAATTAAATATAAGATTTAGAGTCATAGTCTAAAAAGCTTGGCTGTGTGCAAAAGTTTTCTACTTACAAAATCTGAAGGTAGGTTGCAGCAATCAAACCAAACACCAACACTGGCAGACTAGAACTTTTCATTTACAAAAAATGCTACATCAGGTACTAAAACGAAAGAGAAACTTTATTCTGCTTTTGCTTAAGTGGCAAAGCAAAGCTGTCTCCAGTTTCTAACATTTGTCACTGATGCAAATGCAGCTGTTCTTTTTGAGATGAAAGCAAAGAAGGTATGATAATACACAGTGCTCTGCCTCAGATCAAAAAAATCTGAAGAGATTCAACTGTGAAAACAGGTCAGAAAAGTATGGCAATTTTTACCTGGCTGGTTGAGAACAAGGGCCTTTGGTTGCTTTTCCACATTCAAAGTTGAGGGGATCTCCAGTTTTGGCTCTTCCTTCTGAAATCAAGTAATGACTCAGCTGTATTAGAGGGAGGACTGTAACCTTCATGGAACTGATTGGACTCAAAATTTGTCAGACTGCCCAGGGCCACAGGGTAACAAAGACCACCAACAGCAAGACAGGACTTTTTTTCCCCTTTTTAGTTAGGCATAGCATTTTTTTAAATTAAAAAAGAAAATATTCACTGAAAGTAACTGAACAGTTTCCTTAGTAGATTAGTGTGATAATCACATATCCTCTGAACAGAGAGAGACACAGCTCTCCCAGGATTTTCCTGGGAAGCTGTGAGAAAGCTAAGAGAAAGAATTTAAAACTATTATCTCAATCTCAGCAGGCAATCTCTGTTTGTCAAAGATGTTTACAAGAAGGAGTTGTCCCTTCTTGACCAGTAGGTGAGAGAAAATTCCTAAAAGCCAATCAGGTCTTAGGCCCACCATTGTTTCTATAAGAACTGTGAATTTCTAATAATAAAGCGCTTTTTCATGCCTTCTCATGGAGTCTCTGTATCACCTTTGTCTGTCCCCGATACCCCTTCAGTGATAAGATCAGGACACTCCTTAGCTGGACACAACTGCCTTCTTTTCATTCCCACATTCCTGACAGGGTAACAAAGAGTGCTCAGTAACTAATTCACTGGCTGGTACAAAGCAGGAAGACGCATCAACAGCAGCAAACATTACAGCTCCAGCATGCAGGAATGAGCTGTTGCCTCTTGCAGTAGTGAGGGGGACAATTATCCTACCTGCAAAGGCTGCAAAAAAGCTGTGTCTCTGTAGCAGTGGCTGTGACACAACAACAGTTATTCTCAGTTTGAAATGCATCTAAAATTTGGGTCTAGAGTGTACCTAAGTACATCTACTAACATGGAACTACCCTAGAATTTAATTTCCACATATGATAATAAAACAAAACAAAATAGTCTGCAAACACAATGTTTCATACCTTTGTTTCTGGGGTTTCACTCTTCCTTGTTCTCTTCATTATTTCATCTATTCTCTATAAATCAAAATAAATTTCAGGATGAGATGGCAGACAGAATATGTAACATAAGAGAAGGGAAAAAAGACAAAGAACCTTTTCTTTACTGTCATGACATCCTCTCTGCCTGTCTTGGAAAAGGGAGAACAAATAAGAAAAATAAAGAAACTTAAAGATGAAAAACATCTTGCAGCTGGCTTTAACCTACCAGATCTTACAGAATATGACTTTCTCAGCAGATGCACTTTAGAACCAAGTATTTTAATATCAGGTGTTTGCAGCTATGAGTTATGCTCAGCTCTGGAACAAGACATTTATTAAAAATCAACAGCAGTTATTTTAATCTAGGTGCTTTTCCAACTATTTCCAAACAGTGCCTTTAAAAATAGTTAGGCTTTTTGGAATAGAAGAGCAAAATGAAATATCTGAAGTTATTCTTGCTAGAAATGTGTAAGGCATTATCCTAAAATACTTCTGTTTTCCTTCTTCATTAAAAAAAATGTTCTTTGAGATGTAAAACACTTTGGTTTGATATTCTAATCTGCAACAGCAACATGCCTCCAGTTCAGTGGCAAACAGTTTAAAACATATTGGAATAACATGTATGAATAGATGATTGTTTGTAACCAGGCAGGGGCTCTGCAGCTGTTCTCTTTCCTGCTACACAGCTGTAAACAAAGCTAATTTATGCAGCTTCAGCCACTTCCGTGTGCAGCAGTGGCCAGACAATCCTGTTCCTCTGCATAATGCTACCAGAGACAGCCTGGTGGGGGGAAAACTGTTTGTTAATCACAAACTTTCTCAATTAATGACACAGAGCTTTTGTTGAGCAAGATTTAAACAAAGTCACTCATGTTTCTCAGTAGTTAGTGATGTCCTGGGTTGGACAGCAACTGACATTTGCCTTGGCATGCCATTCCTTGTTTGTCTCAGGCATTTAACTTTCAGGTAGAGGCTGGCTCTGTGTTTGCTCAGTGCCTCGGAGAAAGTCATTTGCCTCAGGCAATTCCACTTTGTTCAAATTTTGATGTCCATGTTCCCCCTAACAGGCAAGTAACAAATACTACGTTTGCCATAACCATTCACCTCTAATCCCTCCAGATTATTGTTATTAGATACTACTGGGTGCTTCCTGGGTTATGTATTTAAACAAGAAATGAAATAATTATCCTGAGATGCAAATACTCACCTTCTTCCGCTCCAGCCTTTCTTGCTCAATTTGCTGCATGATTTGCTCCCTTTCAAGACGAAGCTGTTCAGCTGCCTCACGGGCTTTGATTTCTGCTTCTTCCCTCTAATCAAAATGTGTAAAATATGTTAGGGCCATTATTTATTTCAGGCAGAGTAACAAATATTAAGAAGTATTTTTTTAACATGTATAAAAAATTCACATTTGTGTTTGAGATGATACCTGTTTCTCAAGCTTGGCTTGGAGCTCTTTTTCTTGCTTTTCCTTTAGCATTTGTTCTTCCTCAGCTCTTCTTCTGGCTTCCTCTTCTGCCTTTTTTCTAGCTGCCTCCTCTTCACGTTTTCTTTCCTCCTCCTTCTTACGAGCTTCTTCTTCCAGACGAAGTCTTTCTTCTTCTGCCTTTCTTTTCTGCTCTTCTCTCTCAAGCCTGCAAAAAATGTAACAGAAGGTTTAAAAGGCTTCATCTTGTTTAGCATGAATCCTATTGAATGTACATCACTAACTGGTAACACATGCATCAGCACATATTTTCATTAAAGATGCCAGGATACAGTGAAGACATTGAGCACATGCTCAGAATTCAGGTTGCTATCAAGGTTTTACTTCAATCTTACTTTAAATGCCTGAAATACTTCATAGAAGTTATCATTTCCATTGAAAAAAACATGCGTGATCAAAGAAAACATTCATGTTCTAATTTCAATTAGAATGTCAATAATAAAATTAAGTATCAAGAACAAAGACAAACCTCTTCCCCTGTACTTGATACCCAGAATGCTGGTATCTATAAACAAGCAAGTTCTTTTATCCTTTGCTACATCTGAAGATAAACAGACGGGATGAGTAGCAGCAAATTCCACAAAACACAGTGGAACACTGGAAGGAGTGGGTCTAAACCCCCCCTGTGTTGTTCCCTGGCCCACTGAGGGGCATCTTGCTCCTTAAGAATTGCTTCTTAAGTGATGATTCTTATCATTCTATCAGGGCCAAAATGGCAGGAGCTGGTCATTCCACTCCCACCCTGAATCAAGGGTTTAAAGAAACTGAAAAAGTTAAAAGTTTAACTAAATTTAGTGAGGGGGATCGAAACAAGTAAGAGTATAGCACAAAGAGTAGAAATAATAAGGGAGAGTTAATTATTAGCAGATAAAGTAGGTAAGGAGAGAGTGACATATCACCTGCCTGTCTTTATTATGTTTAAAGAAGCAGGATGGGATGTGGATTTAATTGTGAAAAAGAAGAGGACCATAGCCTGCACATGGGCCCCCAAACCTGAGCTACAGGCAAGGGGTCCAAAACCTACCAACAAGGCAAAAGTAAAAGGACGCTTTGACCTCAGGAGACCAGGACCCATTTCAAAACCCACCAACCCAGTGAGGTGAAAGATTGTGTAAGTGTAAAGGAACTTTGGACTCGGTTATAATACATTTCAGCACGAAGTGGGGTGGGCGGGTTAGGTCATGAATATGCATTAGGCATTTTGGGAATTACATGAATATGTAAGACTTTTCAGATACATAGAGAGCTGGAGCCTGTGATTCTTTGCACATGATTCTGGGAGATGGCTCCCATGTGTCTGGTGCTGTCAACAAACATACCCCTTTCTAAGTTTAACTAGTTGGAGAGTTCTATTCTGCGCTTCCACCCTGCCCACTGTGTCTGTAGTAAGAAAACCCAAAGTTGAATCTAGACATGCAGAATTAGTGATTTATTATTACAGGGTTGAAGGAAGTGCAAGGTTTGCTGACATTTGCAACCAGCATCCCACGTGGAAAACCACCAAAAAGCCTGTTCCCAGAACAGGGCCAGAACTTCACAGCTCAGACAGCAACCTTCATTCTGCCCACACTCTGCCCTCAATGCCTGCAGCAGAGTTGGGCAGGAAGAGGAGCTTCAGGTTAATTATGAATGATTCAAGATATTTTATGCATATCCTGCTGCTGCAAGACATTTTCTGCTACAACATCTAGCTCATTTAAAGCTACCTAAAATATTTTTTTACAATGTAGAATACTTCAGGTATGTCCAGAATGCAGGGTTAAGTACACTTCAGCATGGACATGCCTGAATTATTTGGAAAAGTAATAATTTATTCAGGGTTCTTGAAGAGGCCAAATTATTATTTTTTAACTTCACTAATCACAGAAACTGCAAAAGACACCAATGAAATTAGTCTGAAATTAAAGAAATTAACAAATACATATAAAGCAGCCTCTTGATTCCAAAACTACCACAGTTTCAAGCAACCTGTATCTTCAGCAATACAGGTTAAATTATTAGGTTATAATTTTCACAAAGCAACAGAGAGACCTTTCTCGTTCTTCTCTTTCCTGTTTCTCCTTTTCCTCTTGTTCTTTTTGCAGGCGTGCCTGTCGTCTTTTTTCAGCTAGAATTTTTGCAGCTTCTTCTGCATCACTTGTTCCTGCTGTGATCTTCCCTAGGAGAAGAAAACCAAGGATGGAAAGTCAGGCAGGGAACAAACAGAGTGCCCAGCAATTCCAGGTTCATACAGATGCTGAAATGGGCCTGGTTCAGAGTGGTGAGACACCTTTTTAAAAGCACATTTCAGTATTTTCCGCAGAAAGAAGATGGAATAGATAAGGGCATCACATCTTCATTAACAATTGGTACATTTGGCTTTTGGTACATTAATGAAAATTGTGTATTCACAGGTTCCAGTATGTATCTTTACACATTCTCATAAGCCTGTGACTGAGCAGCCTCATGAAAAGAACAGCTCATGACCATTTAAAAGTCTCAGGGACCCATCATACCTTGCACTAACATCTTGCAGCAAGGCTCACCTTCACTGTTCTCAGCCTTTCCAGCAGAAGGCATGTGCTTCTCAGGAGCCACCTGGCCCACGTCATCAGTGCGTGCTCCTGGGGACTTCAGGTGACTGACATTTTCTTTCTCCTTGTCTGCTTTCTTTTTAGGTGTTTCCTGGCTGCTATTGGAAGTGGCACGATGCTTCACAGGAGAAGCTGGATATTGTTTGGTGTTTTTAGGAGACTGAGGATAAGTCTTTGCAACAGTCCTGATGAGGGAAAACAAAAATCAAACAAGGCCAGATGTTACACAGCTTTGAATCAAACTCTATCTTCACATTTCTCATTCTTTCTTGTCTCCAGCTACAGAGGAGTGTCAGCTGTTCTGCACAATACTGAAAAGAACCACCTGGATGCAATCAGAACTTAAAATGCACGGAACTGACAGAGAAGTGTACACGATTACAGAAAATTGCCATTAAAATACAGGAATAACACTGTCTAAGGTCTAGGTGAGAGATAGGAAATTTTGGACAACCTAAACCAATGATTTCAGTAATGCCCATTTCAAAAGAATTCTGTCAACTTTACTGTTTCTACAGTCCTTCTCAACATGTAAACCAAAACAATGGCTGCTCTCTGTCTGTAGAAATCATAATGAGCTACAGCATGCTGCTGTCATCTGAATACCACCTTGCCAACCATGGTCTTTTTCCAATCGTATCTGATTTTCCAAAACAGCACCAAATATCTGTATATACAAAGGTAAGGCTGGGTACTACTGAAAGAGACAGAACTGATAAAACCATTATATTGTCAGCAACACTGTTTGAGTCAGTGCTCTTTTCAGCACCAACACAACAGACTCCAGACTCCAAACTCAGCACCTGCAGCTTTTTAGAAGCTGCACTTGTGGTGATGGTGATGCACAGCAGCAATGCAGCACATTGCTCATCTGGCTGCTGCACACTTCAGGTGAAGTGATAGCCCCGAAGTCAGTTCTGGGAAAGTGGAAGGGTAAAGATACCTGATATTCACTGAAAATAGGTGCACATAAAGAGAACAGATTACCAGGAAACATAAAACTACACATGAATACTATTCATTATTCATGTAACACCAGTAACTAGCACTTATAACATTAAGAAAGGCTGGGATGTGTGACTAAGTAGTATAAGAATAAAGAGATTACAATCTTAAAATAATGATTTATGTGAGTCTCATTAGAATAAATTATCTTACATTAAAGTGAACGTTACACATGTATTTCTAACCTTCTTCCTGGATATGCAATTATGATATAAATGTATTATCCCTTATCACTTTTTTAATCTACACTATATAGAGCTTCATATACCATAACATGCTTTCCGGACTATACACTCATTCTGGCAGACCACAAACAAGAAAAACATGATCAGCAGCTAAAAATTAATGGACTGGAGTGCCAAGGTTTGTATAGATCTAACTATAGTATTGTGTGGTCAGAGACTATTATAACTAGAACAGTATTTGCATTACAGAACAGACAATAAAAATAAGATATCTTATATAACTCCTTCCCAAACTCATGAATTCTGTAGAAAAAAGGGCTCTTTTCTACCATATTAGACTGCATTTGAAAGATGTTGAGACATTAGACTACAAGGAGCTCACTCAGAGCTGCCTGGTTTGTGGGGAGGAAAACACTGCAGAGTATTGCACCATCCTTACTCTCTTACTCCCACTGAAGAGCCACCACAGAGTCCAAAAGCCCTCGGGCTGCAGGAACAGTAGCACCCAACTAAATTCGAAGTTCAGCTCAGGTACCCCCTGCCCGCAGGCCCAGGAGCTCCCTGTCAGCTCAGCTCCTCGCCCTTGGTCCTTGGCTGAGCTCAGCTGTAGGTAAGCCTGTTCTTCTTAGCTTCCCAACCTGCTGATCCTGACATGATGTCCTGGCTTGTCCTTGCACTTGCCTCAGTAAGGCCTTTGTTGGCTGTCACTGGGCTCTTGGTAAACCCTGGTCACCTCTTTTGCCTGCCATGGGATGGGATGCTATGGGCAAGGTCCCTGTCCTTGTCTGTCCTGCTGCCACCCATGACTCCTGCTGTTCCATGACAGAAGTAGGCTTTGGAAGATGTAAACAAGCAAGTCTGATTTCAGTTATTGAAGAAAACAGCAATGAGAGAAGCCAGTGAGTTTGGTTGGGTTGACCAAATCCGGTTTTAGCATTGTCTTCAGATTCCTCTTTAGGTTACAGATGCAATTCCAGGTCCTTCTGACAGCAAAGGCAGATTTCAAGGCCCCACCTACACATGTATATCTCACATGTGCCTCATCACTGCAGTAATTTCCAACTGTATTTCATAAAAATATAATTGGTAAACAGAAAACATTTTTCTCATATTTTTCTGCAGCACAGAGGGTGTTTCTTGCTAATTAGACACTTCAAAGCAGAGTCCCTTCTCGCTGTCTTTGGTTCACATTTCCAACTTTACCGCACGTTCCTTGCAATGCTTTTGATTTAACTTGTTGTGACAGAAGGAGCAAAACAGGCTAATAACTAAGGCTGAGTCATTCTCAGTATTAGTAGAGAAGTAATTGTTCTCTAATAAAGACATGACAATCAAAGAGGTCGGTAGGAAGGAGTCTAGTCATGAGAGCCACATATCTTGCACTGCACAGGCATTAGAGCAGACTGGTTGTACAACTCAGCTGGTGGATCAGAAACATGTGCTGAATGTATTATTTAGCTACTGCATCTTTGAACTTTTAGACTTACAGTAATTTTTTTTAACCGAAGTGCTACAGGCTCTTAGACCAGAACAACAAGAAAATAGTAGTTTCATACAAAGTAGCTAAAAGTGAGAAACATAGAAGACTGATTACTGCAAGGATGAGAATAATGCAGTGTGTGAAGTGCAAAGCTGAAAAAGCCCATCAGGAATAAGAATATTTTTTCAGAATTTTTATATAATTTACTGGATGCCAGTAGAAAGTATTAAATTAACATTGTATTTTAATTGTATTTAAAACATACTCTCAACTCAGCATCTTTAACATTCCTTGACTCAGGCAGAATTGTTACTGGAAAAAGCACTCCTCCTAAATAACATTTAAGTTATGCTGTTTTACACCAAAAAGAGCCAAACTTGACTGAAAAGGCAGAAAAATGGAATTATTAAGAAGAAAAAAATTATAGTCACTTGTATAGAAGCCTTTTTAGGTTTAAATCATGGTAAGAAAGTAGGAAACACAGAATTATCCCTGATAAGGATAAGAGAATTAAGATAACAAATCACTGAAGTACAAGAAGTGGTAGCATGTCAGTGGTCAGACAGCTTACTCATTCTCAGTAACTGGATTTTACAGGGGGATACAGAAGCACCTTCCTCTCTCCAAGAAGACATTAGTTTTCTCACCTAACTGCCCTGAGCTGACATGAGGGCAGCAGCATGAAAGAAGCTGCCCCCTACATGCTCTGCTAGAACCTCTATCAATGAGCATCCACTGATTCTTAATTACCATGGCTCCTATTTAATTATGAAAGGGATAGTCCATTCTGCAGAACAATGTCTCAGGAAGAGCAGGTGAGGGGTTCTGAGCTTACTTTTGCTAAGCAGAGAAAATAAAACACATGTGGCACACAAATCAGATGTCACACCCAGCTCTGGCCATAAAGAGCAGGGCAGAGAACAGCATGCTCTCCTGAAAAGCCAGCTCTGTGGCAGGTCACTGATTATAGCTGTCCATGAGGCTGACTGTAAATCAGAAATCTTCAGCAATGCCAGAGATGCATTATTTTCCTCCTTTCTCCTCATTAATTCAACAAAAACTCTGCTGAAACCACACCAAGGACCCGCATGTTCTCAAGCCTGCTTTCTGACATTGCTCTGATCCAAGCTATTTTTGCTCTACCTGTGACACTTTCTCAAAAGCAGCTTTCTTTCACTCTTAGTTTTGATCTTTTGTAACCAAAGACAGATTCATTTCACTTTCACATTTCTTAAAAAAGAAAAAAACTCAGCATAGGTCTGTAGAATAGTCTTTTGAATAGTTGAATTATTACAGATATTTTTAAATGGTGAACCAGCCTGTTATCTAGCGAACTGCTGAAAAATCCCTCAAAACACTCTTGATCCAACATTCTACCCACTGTTTTTATCTTTCCAAGTCAACACAAAAACTAAGAGTAGTAAATGTAGCACATACAAAGTAAAAATCAAAAATGGGTCACTGCAGAACATAGAAGCTACTTCTGTGGGGAATTCACCACATGCAGACACCTTTCCAATAACTCATTTTTAAACATTTTACAAGTTTGAGGGGCACTATTTTTTCTACTAGTCTAGGTTCATATTCCATCAGTATTCTGCAATTTGACTGAGCATGCACATTAATTTCTGACATCAAAAGTGTTTCCCCCAAGCTACAGGGGGCTGTCACCCAACAGGCCCGCCAGGTGAGGGGTTCAGTTAGTGAAACCATGAGCAAAGGACAATGACCAACCTGGATCTGGAAAGGAACATGAACCACCACCCATAAGCAGCACCACCCATCAGTCACCTTCCTCCTTCTCTCATGAGGTTATGCTTTGGCAAAAGAACGTGATACAGAGGCTTGTCAGAGCTTTGAGTTTTATTCCATGGCTTACACTGTGGCTCATCTGAAGATACTTAAAACTAAATCCTACTTCCTTGATTCAGTCAGATGCTATTGATTTATTTAGGGACTATTTACCCAAAGACATGTGAAGGACACAGGCTTTATTGCCTTCCTGATCTATAAGAAAGCACACTTACCTATTCTCTTAGGGATACTAAGAAGAAAAAAATTATAGTCACTTGTATAGAAATCTTTTTAGGTTTACATCATGGTAATAAAGTGGGAAACACAGAATTATGCCTGATAAGGATCAGAGAATTAAGATAACAAATCACTGAAGTCCAAGAAGTGGTAGCATGTCAGTGGTCAGACAGCTTACTCATTCTCAGTAACTGGATTTTACAGGGGGATACAGAAGCACCTTCCTCTCTCCAAGAAGACATTAGTTTTCTCACCTAACTGCCCTGAGCTGACATGAGGGCAGCAGCATGAAAGAAGCTGCCCCCTACATGCTCTGCTAGAACCTCTACCAATGAGGATCCACTGATTCTTAATTACCATGGCTCCTATTTAATTACAAAAGGGATAGTCCATTCTGCAGGACAATGTCTCAGGAAGAGCAGGTGAGGGGTTCTGAGCTTACTTTTGCTAAGCAGAGAAAATAAAACACATGTGGCACACAAATCAGATGTCACACCCAGCTCTGGCCATAAAGAGCAGGGCAGAGAACAGCATGCTCTCCTGAAAAGCCAGCTCTGTGGCAGGTCACTGATTATAGCTGTCCATGAGGCTGACTGTAAATCAGAAATCTTCAGCAATGCCAGAGATGCATTATTTTTCTCCTTTCTCCCCATTAATTCAACAAAAACTCTGCTGAAACCACACCAAGGACCCGCATGTTCTCAAGCCTGCTTTCTGACATTGCTCTGATCCAAGCTATTTTTGCTCTGTGACACTTTCTCAAAAGCAGCTTTCTTTCACTCTTAGTTTTGATCTTTTGTAACCAAAGACAGATTCATTTCACTTTCACATTTCTTAAAAAAGAAAAAAACTCAGCATAGGTCTGTAGAATAGTCTTTTGAATAGTTGAATTATTACAGATATTTTTAAATGGTGAACCAGCCTGTTATCTAGCGAACTGCTGAAAAATCCCTCAAAACACTCTTGATCCAACATTCTACCCACTGTTTTTATCTTTCCAAGTCAACACAAAACCTAGGAGTAGTAAATGTAGCACATACAAAGTAAAAATCAAAAATGGGTCACTGCAGGACATAGAAGCTACTTCTGTGGGGAATTCACCACATGCAGACACCTTTCCAATAACTCATTTTTAAACATTTTACAAGTTTGAGGGGCACTTTTTTTCCTACTAGTCTAGGTTCATATTCCATCAGTATTCTGCAATTTGACTGAGCATGCACATACATTTCTGACATCAAAAGCTACAGGGGGCTGTCACCCAACAGGCCCGCCAGGTGAGGGGTTCAGTTAGTGAAACCATGAGCAAAGGACAATGACCAACCTGGATCTGGAAAGGAACATGAACCACCACCCATAAGCAGCACCACCCATCAGTCACCTTCCTCCTTTCTCCTTCTCTCATGAGGTTATGCTTTGGCAAAAGAACGTGATACAGAGGCTTGTCAGAGCTTTGAGTTTTATTCCATGGCTTACACTGTGGCTCATCTGAAGATACTTAAAACTAAATCCTACTTCCTTGATTCAGTCAGGTGCTATTGATTTATTTAGGGACTATTTACCCAAAGACATGTGAAGGACACAGGCTTTATTGCCTTCCTGATCTATAAGAAAGCACACTTACCTATTCTCTGAGGGATACTGCAAGAATAATCAAATTAATGTACAGATTTTCCAAGATGAAGCATAAAACAAAAAATTACTGAAACCTCTCATCCTGTTATTATTGATCCTGTGAAAGATCTGAAGAAAATGAACACTTTGCACCATCAGTATCCAATAGCAATTGAAAAAGATTAAAAACAATTTCCTAATTGTTCAAACACTCTAATCCATTAACTTTCATCTTATCCACATTAAGATTCAAAATAATAGTTTTGGATTTCTTTCTGTGACAATTCTTGACGTATTTACTTTTCCAAATAACATCATGTTTTGAATTCCTTCCCTGCTTTTAATTGTTGTTCAGCACATTTTGATTTTTTCCCCTTTTCTCCTTTTTATATCTGTATCTGTTCACTCGTCTCAGATATTATGTTTTTGGGCTGACCTTTTCTGCTTTCTCAGTAAAATTTGCCTGTCCAAAACACTAGTATTTTATTTATGTAATTACTGCAGTAATTACATAAATAAACTCTCTTCCACCATTAATCAGTGGGTCTCTTTAGGCTGAAATTTTATTGTCTTGTTTGATCCTGCTTCAGTTACTTTACCATGATTAAAGGCACCTTTTATTTAATAAATAATGAAATAACGTATTGAGAAGACAAGTTACTGCCCACTCAGAAACCAAGATGACAACTGTGAAGAACTGGTAACTAGAACAATACCAAGAAAACTTGAATGCCAAGTCACATATTCTTAAGAAAAGAAATGCATACAGCTAATTGTCATGTACTGGCTATACTTGATTCTTTCCTCAACAGCTTTACAGGTTAAGGTGCTATGCAGGATCACTAACTTCTAATGCTGTACAATATGTATTCTTATTTCTTCCAGGGTATTTTTTCAGTCATATAGTGTGCTAGAAGGAGAATGATTAAACATGTAAAAGATTGTTAGGTTTGCAAGAAGAATGAGTGTATATTTATTTAGTCAGACTAAAATTATACTTGAATGTCAGATAATGATCTTGCTGGTTAGTGGATTTAAATACAGGCAGTAAAGATTATACAATCTAAAGGAAGGTTCCAAAAGCCTATCTCCTCAATGAAAATTAACAGTGGAATTTGAGTTGCATGAAAAATGCATATATTATCACTATTATAATCTATACATAATAATACAATATGGTCATTAGGACACTTTTAATTTTAGAATTATGAGGGGAAGTTTTGAAAGTGCTGAAGCAAAACTCTCTGCAATCAGTAATAAACATGGATTTAAACTCCATTTACTGTATCTCTCATAAGGTCAAGAAGGGTGTTCTAATTGGGCCATGTTAAGATTAAATGCTCGGCAATACATTCCTAGCCATGGTCAGAATCATATTCCCTTGAGAAAGAGAAGGAGGGGTGTGAAAAAAGGGATCACTACTGTGGTTCACAATCACAGAGACACCCACCAGCAGGCTTCTTAATTCCTCCATGCAGCAGCTGTTTTTAGAAGAAGAAACAGTATTCCTTATAGGCATGAAAACATTTCACTGTACAAAGTTTATTATAATTTGCACCTCTGGAAAAAATTCTCTATCATTTCCTAATCTTTTATGGAAATTAGTGCTTCAAATTAAGACTGGGCATACCTTTTTCATGAAGCACTAAAGAGCTGCTTCCCAAGAACTTTTTCTTTTAAGCACTGGACATTTCTCTGATGATCTGCACCAACCTTTGCTTGCCCAGCAAGCAGCACTTGACACTAAGCTAATTCATTCCCCACCAATCATTTTGCTTAAATAAATCCGTCTCTTGGTGGATCTCTTTTTTTCTCTTATACTGGCTGAACAAACTGAAAAATGTATTCTGAGCAGGGAATATCAGTACTTGCAGTATAATATACAGTCTTAGAGCTCAAACTTTTTTTTTTTTATACTTTATATTGCAGAGTACCAGTAGACAATGATCTGCCCAAACTGTAATAAGAAAGCTGACTGTCATTACCATTGCATTTCAATAAATTATTCATAAAATGGATGTAGTTCACACCACAGAATCTGATGACATGTATATTATTGAAAGTTTGAGAATCTGTATCTTTATAAAGAAAACCAAGAAATGCAGTGTCCCAGTTACATGCAAGGGGATGTCTAAACCAGAAAATGCTGAGAGTCAGATGGTTTCCTTATGTTGTCTAACATCAGATTCACACAAAATCATCCCCCACTAAAGGGCTATGCCCTCAGAGCTGAAAGAGAAAAGGAACACCAGCTGGTTTTTCAGGCAGAAGAAATCTGTCAGAAAGGGGATCATCAAGCCTGGTTCAAAATATGGCCAGCTTCAGATTAAAAAAGATAAATAAGACAATTTTCAAGACAGAAGTGGCACCCACAAACAAGGTCTAAGAGAAAGTCCAAAACAATCAACCAGCCAAATAAATTAGGCAAGTACTGTAGACGAGGACTGCTTTAGCATACTCCTACATTAGAGCCAGACTTAATATTCTGCTCTAAGAAACCTGGAGACCCATTTGCTTAGACTTGAGTTTCAAGCTGTGGTACACATAAAACAGTTTTCAGCAAAAGACAATCAAGAAAAGCAAGTCAGTTGACAGCAAGCCCAGATAAGCTATAGATCCACAGCTCTGAATTAAAAAAATAAGGCAACAAAACCACAGAGGTCTGCAAATGAGCAAAGGTTAAAACTAATGGTTTAGATGACACATAGTTAAGTGTATTTATGGCACCAGATGGTCATGCCAACAATAGGAAATGCATATATTAAATGCTGGAATTTCTAGTTAGTATTCATGATGAGTGCATTTCTTCACATTAGGCAGTTTCTTCAAAACCAAACAAAAAACCCCCCCATATTTAAATATAAATATGAAGTAAAATTTCATATGAATAATGAAATGCACTGTAATTTCAAGACTGAGGAAAGGTAGAGAGAGCTGTCTCTAGTGGGTACTAACACTATTACAGATATCAGATTTGCCATCTACACCTCTCCTCTCACCCATCTGTATTTGTGCATATTTCATAAATTAACTAGATTTTATACAACGCTTCAAAGGGAGTTCCTTTGGAAGGAAGAATCTATGCCTTATTTAGAGGTAATGAAAAATTCACAGGATATTTTTCCACTAATAAGAAAAGCATACTTAGGTGTTGCAGGCGATGCAGATCTTCTGGACATGGCAGCAGGAGAATCAGACCTTCTCAGAGGAGATCCCATACCAGAAGATGAACCAGGTGTTGCAGGCCGCTTCTCCTTCTTTATCTTCTCAGTCTAGAAGCACAGTTCATTTTAATTTCCATAATTAGGATCAATAAATCAAAATGCATTTGATTGTTTTATTAGCAGGATGGCATATAAAGAGATTTGTGTGGCACACTTGTAAAAGCTTTTTAAACAGGCAGCTCACAAGTAAGGTGGTATTAATAGTTTTTTATTTTACGTAGACATAGCACACACCCACCCCTGTCTTGCACGGGCAGAGCATGCAAATTTCAGATAAGTAACACACATCAGAGCCTCTGCAAGAGTTCTTGGGAGGGGTGGTGGCACTGGGTGAAATCTTCAAAATCATCCATATGCTCCTGCTTAGATAAGATCAGCAGTGCAAACAGGCATCTCAGAGAAATGTTGCTGCATGTAACACTGAATGACACCTAAGAATGACACTACACAAGTCCTTATTCCCAGCTTTGGTTCTCTCACTTGCAGCTAATTTACATGGCATGAATCCCCCCATCATTAAGTATTATAAGATACAGGACCTTACGTGAATATTATAGCCCTAACAGAATTTTTTTAAAGCATGCCTTAAGCTGTGTAGACTCAGCAAAGGTGAGTGACTTGATTTTTCTTTTCTGGAAACTACAATGGATCGCTAATGCATCTTTTAAGCAAACAGCATTAAAAATGTCCACAGAAAGAGTTAAAGCAAATGGTGGAAAACAAAGGCATTATCAATACACTTGGGGAATTTGTGAAATATATGAAGCTTGCTCATATATTTCAGATAGTCATACTCAGGAGGGATACTTGCAGCTAATTTACATGGCATGAATCCCCCTACCATTAAGTATTATAAGATACAGGACCTTACGTGAATATTATAGCCCTAACAGAATTTTTTTAAAGCATGCCTTAAGCTGTGTAGACTCAGCAAAGGTGAGTGACTTGATTTTTCTTTTCTGGAAACTACAATGGATCGCTAATGCATCTTTTAAGCAAACAGCATTAAAAATGTCCACAGAAAGAGTTAAAGCAAATGGTGTAAAACAAAGGCATTATCAATACACTTGGGAAATTTCTGAAATATATGAAGTTTTATCATTAACCAGCAAGCCTGGACAGTCATACTCAGGAGGGAATTCTATTTGTCATCCCCATTCCCAGAAGTTATAAGCAAGTCCAAAACCATACACTTCAGTGCCTCAGTTCTCTGAAAACAGGGGTGTTGGTGTTCCAATACCAGCACTCAGCACTGATTCCCAAGAGGAAGAAGATATTAAAATACTCCTTAACAGGAGCACAAAGGCAACAGGTGTTGGCAGGGCTTACTTTTCTACTGCTGTTTCCTATAGCAGGGGAAACACTTCATTTGTATTCATGTAAAAGGAAAGCTAACAAGCAGAAGCTGCATCAGTTTACCCAGCAGTGAGATCAAAACCATTACAAACTCACCTGAGTAACTTCAGCTGCAGGTGCCCCTTTCATGGCATTGGCAGTGGAGGGTGAAGTTGCCTTCTTCCTGTCAGTGCTTCGGGTGGGGGAAGGCTTGTAGGGAGATTTAAGAGGACTAGCTGGTGCTACACGAGGACAGATATGGAATACTAAAGAGTTATAGTACAATAGCAAGAGCAAAAAGGAGCACGGATAGAGGAAGTAAAGGAGGGGAGAAAACAGCATACTTTTATGTTATAATGTTCAAAAGTAGTTTTAAAGTGGTTTTCAGTGTTTTAAAATATCGCAATACAATGCATTCAACATGATCCCATGTTTATTAAAACTGTCTCAACTGAAACATTTTATAGGAAAAAATTCTCTAAAATAGAATACTCTTTTCTTCATATATCTTTTGAATCACCAATTGACTAATACTGGGATTCTTTTTTCTTCTAAGAAGTCCAGCTTCCTTTGCATATGATAAAGAGTAAGCAGATAATGCTAACTGGGTGACTTTTGAATGCATACTGCAAAACAGGAAAGGTGACAGAAGCATAGGGAGTTTTGTCTTTTTTAAACCCTAAACATGCAAAGGCTCCTAATTAATTACTTTCCAAATAATATTCAAACAAAAAATTAACAAACCTCCCCCCCAAATCTAAACTAAATGCTGCTATAGGTATTTCAGTTATTTGAGAGAGACATAAATTTGAGCATGACACATGCATTACAACTTATAGGGCAGCTTGTTTTACTTGCAATATGATCAGGATTTTTTACTCCTGATTTTGCTCATATTGCCTTCTGAGATGAAACTTTCACATACATGTAGAACAATCAACAGAGTATATGTTCTATCAATAAGACAGACACTAATTGCAATCAAGTGATAGAATGTTTCCAATTTTAGTCAACTAAAGTCAAGAGGGGTATTGACTTTGAAAAAATAGCAATTATGCACTAATGTAAAGAAAGTCACATTCCCAAATTTTTTACTAGAGACAGCCCTAATAAAATTTTTATGAAGTCTTTTTGAATACTTTGAAGTTTAACTGGACCTTTGTACTCTTTGGCCCACTTTCCAACCAACTGGCATCAGGTCACTGTCTATTAATAAAAACATTCAGAAACTTAAAAGCTGCCTAAGATAAATATTTTTACTTCAACTGTTAAAAGAATGAATTATGCATCCAGTAACAATTGTTTGCCTGAATATCTTGACTTCGTGTGACATTAATAATGTGTTGCTGTAGAGTCTGAAATTGAGGCTCCTCATTTCTAAGCATACAGAAAATGCAGTAGCAGAGCAATTTTGACCCCAGCATAAAGACAGGAGGCACAGCATGAGCTCCTGGTAAGGAAGATCCCTCTTCCTTATTCAGAAGTGACTTCTATGGTGAGAAGTACATGACAAATGGGAGACGTCCCTCAACTGTTTGGCTGGCAATTACTGACAAAATGTCAATGGCCTCTGAGATTGTTGTTTTCAACCCGTGCTACAGCCTGATTGCCTTGTGAGGAAATGACAAGAGGATGCTTGCTCAAAAAGCTCTTTCCAAAATCAGCTGCCCTGTTTCAGCTCAATGAAAAAGCAGTTTTCAGAACAAATTGTACCCTTGTCAGACATGCCAGTGTATTACTTTAAAGATCCTGTGATGAAGAGATAAACATGAGAGTTTACAACCAAAATGAGCAAAGAAGGACAAAAGTAATCCTTATTGATTTCTTTGATATCAAATACAAAACAGGAGAAAAAAAAAAATCAACCACAGGTGGCCTCAGCAATTCAGCTTAAAATCTTAAGCAGAATGTACTGATCTAATTTTGACTTGGGTTTTGCTCACTCTTGACAGTTGCTGGTCCCTGAGCAGTAATCAAATTGGGCACTTTCTCAAGTACTATATGAAAACATTTCTGCTTCCAGTAGAGGCTGTTTTTAATGTAGAAACAAGGGAAGCAATTTTAGAGGCATTCAGTATCAATGTCCCTATGCACTGAACAGAGAAGTAATGCACAAGGGAAAGCAGGTTTACTTAGAAATTCATTTTTAAATAGCTTTGCATGAAAAGCACAGATGTAGAACTGAAGCCCATTTTAACCAAGATGTGTGAAAACACCCATCATAAAGATGATCAGTCTTTTATAGTCTAAATAGTTTAATCTTGGAAAAGTGTTTCTTTTTGCAGACAGACATTTGGGTGCATGCTTTGGGGCTCTTTTTTTGTTTGTGTGTTCTATTACAAGTAAAAAGGGCTGTTAAACTTTTGTCTTGTTTCAGCCAATGCTATCACCAAGTATGACTTTATAAGCAGAAACTACTCAAAGTCAGGTATTGTCCAAGTATTAGCAGGACTGGAAACATTATTTTTGTATGCAAAAATGTTTGCAAAATAATGGTTTTATTAGTCTACACTTTACACATAGGAATGGTAGCTATCATCCCTTAAAGATCAATAATTTCTGGAACTGACACCTTCCTATCAATCAGTCTGGTTTTCCGTATGTGTATTTACACCTATACATATATATAGGTGTCAAATACACACAGCTAAAGGCATACTTAAGAGATAGATATAGAAAGTGGTAAAATAATTAAGACCTGGTAAACATAATTAAGACTCAATGGTGCACTGGGATTTTTGTTCTACATGCTATTTGGGTATGACAGGGCTGACGTTAATAAATCAATCAAAGCCTCTGAGAGTTGTCACATCCTTGTCTAAAAACCTGTTTCTTAAATGAATATATTATTTTTTTTATAGTCTGCAGTTTTAATGATTTTTTTTCTAAAACAGATATTCAGAATAGCACAGAAAAGGTAATGTGCTTTTCAAAGATTTTAAATACACTGTTATCTGAAACAACTTAGTTCATCATTGATTTTGTACTGTCCTGTAAATTGCCATTTGTTTCATAGTACTCCGTTTGTGCCATCAGCTACATAAATGCAGCTGAACACAAACCTCAATGGTTTCAAAGTGAGGAAGTCACATTTTTACCTGGAGTATTGTACTGCTCAGAAAGCATTAATGTACTTCTGCTTCTGGCTAAAGATGACTGTGTGGGAGTCAGCAGTCGAGAAACAATAAAGTTTTCCATTGGACTAAGATGCATGCGGTGAGCTGAAGGATGGGAGCAAATAAAATAAAATTTAAAATGCAAAGAAATAAAACAATGTTACATTAAAATAACTGAAACAAAATGATGAAATGATTAAATGAAATAACAAAAAATACTTGAACTTTTTGAGATTTAGAATACTTGAAAATAATTTTCATTCCCTCTGAAAAAAACCTTCTAATTTGGCCATTGTTTTAAGTTTCCCACTTATACACTACACACAGTAAGGTTAAGATCATGTTGTATTTTGTTTTTACTCAGAGGCATGTTCCATTCTGCAAAATGGTTGCTTTCATGACTCAGCAAGAAAAAAGTTTATCCTCTTCCCCAGCAGGAAAGGTAAAACACTTGGTAGATCTGCACAGCTGCTCACTAATGTGCCACCTGTGCTGGGACTGCATTTGAAATCTGCCATCTCACCATGTTACGTAAGCCTTATTTATACAATATGCCTGCATTACTTCCTGCTCCATAAAAATAAGTGTCAACTATATAAGATATATATATATATATATATATATATATATATAGATGTTCCTATTACATGTATATATAGCCATCTGTCATAATAACCTCAAAGCTTCTGATGAGCTTAAGCAATTAAAAAATTAAAATACATTTACCTTCTCTTTTTCATTCTAGAAACAAGCCTTCATAATTGATTTTAGTAAATATATTTTTCCCATTAGACGTAAAAAAAATTGGGTAGAAAGAAATAAGCAAACACAAAATAATCCTAAAAAAATCCAAACAGTTCACAGTGAGATAAACCCTTCAGTGCTCTTTGTAGTGTTTAGCAACCACTAATCCTACAAGATGATCATCTTCTGTGGAGTCACTTGAGGATCAGAGTTTCATAAGAAATTAACGGGCTCTAAACTCTGGTCACCAGATTGCAGTCTCCCAGGTGGCTCATCAGACATATCCCTGCATATGGAACATCCCACATCTACTGCCAGGCCACACCTTTGCTTTGCTTGTTTTTCCTTATTTTGATAGGAGGTCACAAGCAGTGCAGTTATAGGAAATTGCTGCAGTTACAGCCTGCATTTACAACCAGATTTGCTGGAGTATCAGAATTTGGAAAAGGACCAGTAAAAAGCCCATGGCATTTGTTGCTGGACTACGATCTCCAGCATGGCAGCACAGCCTTGGGACAGGCTGCAGGACCATGTTATTAAGAGAATCTCTCAGATGTTTGAGTTCCTTTGAATAACAGACACGAGCAAACCCCAAAGCTCTGTGGACCAGCAGTGCTTTAAGCAGGAGAGTTTGTGCTGGAGAGACCAGCGTGTTCACTTGCCTCTGTCGGGGGAATGCGTTATGGCCGCTGTGGAGGACGAGAGGCGTTTACTGATCGGCGACTCCATTTGCTTGGGCAGATTCATTGTAGAAGCTGAAAGTTTGTCACATGCTGCAGAGAAACGCATTGAAGAAATTTGTATTCACACCACAGTGTTATTAAACTCCAAAAATTAACCTTGCATTTGTTCTCGTGGCCCTTGCACTGATCACAGCACTGACTTGGCATGAGATGAGCTCTTCCTGACCGCTGAGGACCAGCACCTATGACATATACTTTGGCATGCAACTTTTCTGCTTGTGAATTTAACATTCTAGTTTCACAAAAGCTTTTTTTTTATACTGACACTGATAAATAATTATATATCAGCACCAGCATAAAGTTACCCAAAGAAAACAAACTGCATACATGAACTCATCTGCATTCCCCCTCCCCTCTACCTTCAGTCTGGATGAGCTGAAGTTCACATGAGACATTGCTCTAATAAGAAAATGACATAACCAACATTTGTCTATCTACATGAGACCTCACTGTTTTAATGACTAAGCCAGCATCAGCCATTTGTCTTTATCTTTTGTGCTTGGGAAGAACCAAAATAGGAAAAAAAAAAAAAAAAAAAAAGGAAAAAAAAAGGAAAAAAAAAGGAAAAAATAGAGAAAAAAAAGGAAAAAAAAAGAAAAAAAAAAAGGAAGAAAAAAGGAAAAAAAAAGGAAAAAATAGAGAAAAAAAAGGAAAAAAAAAGAAAAAAAAAAAGGAAGAAAAAAGGAAAAAAAAAGGAAAAAAAAAAGGAAAAAAAAAGGAAAAAATAGAGAAAAAAAAGGAAAAAAAAGAAAAAAAAAAAGAAAAAAAAAAGAAAAAAAAAAGAAAAAAAAAATCCAAACCAACAAAAAAACCTAGACAGGTTTTTTGGTATTTTTCTTCTGACATACAATTTGATAAAATCTGTTTGAGCTTAATATCCATTTCCTACCTTGGGATTTATTCAACTGAATTAAAGAGAAATCTTACTCAAGTATTAGCACAGAGTACTAGTACCTGATGATCACTGATGATATGATATTCAGAAGCTAAAAGCACAGATGCTTTGTCCCCTACATTTGAATTTTATTTATTTCAAAACCAAAAATATTTTCAGCTAGACATGTACGTGACCCTAATTCTGCACCTCCTAAGTTACTGCAGTCCCTATTATGTCCATCAAATCATTGTCATAATGTGGTTTCTAAGATTTGCCTCCATCTACTACAGTAAACAATGCAATTCACTACATTTCCTTTTTAAATAAAGCAGATATAATGCTGGTATGTTGCAAAACATCAGTTGCACAGGCAAATAGCTTTGCACATGAACAACAATCAGTAAAAAAACTGAATCTGTTTGCACAGAAATATTAGTTCTCTGAGATCATAGGCAGAACAATATTTACTGTGAATTCTGCAGGAGTAATAGCCATGCTTAACTCCTCCTTTGGGGGAGAGAAGGAATCTACTTCTCAAAAGCACAGGCTGTGTTTTCTTTTCAAAACACCAAGTACATTTGCAATCAAATCAAATCACATTTTCAATTTGAAATCCTATATGCAATCCATTTGTTATTTTGGAGAACTCATCTACTTCAGAGCCCTTTTATGGGAATAACAATTAAAAAAAAAAAACCAAACCACAAATAAAACCCACCAAAAAAAAAAAACCAAAAACCAAAAACAAACCCCGAAAAAAACCCCTCAAAACAAACCTACAAGAACAAACCAAACCTGAACAATATAAAACATGATTGCTTAAACAAAGCCAACCACTTGAGTTTGTTACAAATACCAGCTTGGTCAAAATTCATTCTAGGAAGCTGAAAAACTAACACGGCTGTTTGTACCAAATTTGCTTGTTTTCAAAATATTGCAGAAGAAGGCCCGCCCTTGAGATGGAAAAAGAGGGCTGTTTTGATGAAACATGGTCTTCATAACACATTTTCTTACTGTGCAACTGAAATTTTTGTCAACAGCACCCTGTGCACATCCATTAGAACTGTCAAATATACATGTAATTATACACACACACAGAGCACCCACAGAATAAAAAAAAAAAATAAAGAGAATCTGAGCAGCAGAAGTCTATAGTTACTGAGAAAACCATGAAATGCCTCTACTGTGCTGGAACATGAGGCATGCACTGCTCCACCATGGCAAAATTAAAAGGAAATTAAGACACTGGTCTACATCACTAAGGGTAATGCTGTAGAGTACCAGACTGAAATAATAAGAAAACAGTGGTTAAGAAGAACAAGATCAGTGGATGGATTACAGTGATTAGAACAGTTATAAACGAGACACGATGGTACTGTGATTCTCTGAAATACCATTGAAGGAATCAGCAGGAGCAGTAGAGGTCACAGGGTCTGGAGGAAGGGTGTTGGCAGCTAAACCTAGAACAGGGGGTGGGGTATTTTCTGATTCACCTACACAGCAGAGAAATCAGAGCAAAAAGAGGTGAAAGAAATTACTGAATAAGTTGGGGGAGCTGGAATCAAGCACAAACTGCATCACAAAGAAAACTGGTTTCTTTCTCAAAGTGTAAGAGACTTCTTTCATTATTATAATTTCCTGGCTTTTTAAATGATATATCGTGAAAACAATGATATGAAACAGTTTGTCTTTTTAAAGTTAAGTATACTTATACACTGTTTACAAAAGAGCAATTGTTATATTCCATCAACACCCAAACATGGATTTTTTCCCCTATAACATTAGTTTATTCAAACGTGACAAATTCAAATAAATTATATTATTTAAAAGAGAAAGCATGCACCTTTCTGAAATATAAAAGCAGCACATGACTCATTATGTAATAAAAAGAATTTCCTCTGAAGCCAAAGCAAAAATAGCAGTAACAGAATGTACATGGGGAAAAAACCCAAACTATTTTAAACTGCACATGCTGCACAGTCATCTAGAAATTCTTACCAGGTTTTTAGAAGTACCAAACAAAAACATCTTTTGCAAGCATTATATAGCACTCAGTCCTTTGGTGAATATTAAAATTTGCTAACTGTGTGCATGGGAAGACAATGTGGAAGAAGCTATTAAGGGAGACAGTGCATCAATTTTAATTTTAGCCTTTAGCATCCTCCAAACTGATTCTGGTTCCTCTATTAAAATGATCTGCATTCCTAAAGTTAGGAGGAACCTGTCTCCACAGAAGGTATTAGGGAGAGGAAGCCCGGCAAGCAATTACAAAGCACTTATTCACGCCCCAAGGCAGCGGTACCACCCTGACTATAAACCCATCATACTTACTATCTCCACAATCTCATGCATTTTGCACTTCCAGATCTGCAATGCAGGCAGCCTGTTTCACTTACCATCTCTGCCTCCTGAGCCTGCAGCCAGTGCTCCTCCCCACGACCATCGCTTCTGCTTCTGTTCCAGCTGCTGGCTGCGTTCGAGGGACCGGCGCATCATGGCTTCTAAACGTTCCTGGTAATTTTGGTACAAACCCAGACACAAATCCCAATCAGCTCTTTGGGGGCTTCCTTCCCCCGCCTTCTGAAACCACGCTAAAAATACAGTCCCCCTGTTGCTCCACACAAGATGCTCACAGGGACTTGCTCACAATAAAAGAAAAAGAACTGAATAAAGAAGGTATCAGCATGCTACCTACCTCCAGATATGTGTGTCCTTTGTCTGCAAGCCACTGAGGTCACTACAGAGGCCTAAGTAAATAACACAGGTTGCATCACTGCCTAGCATCTGCTCCTGCTGGTGAGGCTGCTGCTGTGCTCTGGACTTAATTTGTATAAGAATAATGCTCGACAAGCATTAACTCCTTCTTGTCTATGCAGACATCAGAATTTTTTCCCATCCCTTTCTGAGCACAGTTAAATTGCTGCAATGCCAGTGGCTCCACCTAGTCACTCAGATAAATGATCACTTCAAAGCCAAAGTAGGTTACTTTGCAGGATGCCCTACTTATTTATTTATTTTTACAAAAACTCCCTCCTTTCTTCTATATTCCTTAAATCTAGGCATTTGAGACCTTCTGATTTTTTTTCTTCTCTGTGTATTTATTTTAGTACATGCCCACCTCATACTGCTCCCAAGATTTACTTTTTTCCCCTCGCTGCCACCCCCATGTTCTTCTCCACGAGTTAGGATTTTCACAGGGGTAGAATAAAATTAATTTTTTCTCTCCCCAAATCTCTACCTTTAACTTACAGCTAATTATAGTCACTTTATTCTCTCTCCATCACCTCTTGACTCTCAAAGACCTTCACTGAGTTTCATTCCCACCTCCTCCCTCTGCTAGTTTCTCAGTGATTTATTGTTGTGGCAATGATCCCTGCACTTTTTCTTTTCCTCCTTTCAAGCAGATAAAATGTGGTTATTCCCCACCCACAATTCCATCATCTAACAGCCTCTTCCTTTCCTCCTCCCAGTACCTCATTCGCATCTGGCAACCACCTCACCCTCACATTTCAGCAGCCCAACCCCTATTGTGAAAGATAAGTCTACTCTTGCTGCCTCCAGCTCCTGCCTCAGCTAGTTTTAGCCCTTTGATCCTATTAGTATTTTTGGTGCTATTCCTTATTACCTTTGCTATGTCCCTTTGGTCTAGCATAAAACTCCTACTCTTATCCACTTCAAACTGGATCCTTCTGCAGGATGTGATTACATCATACCCATTTTGATTTTTATCAATCCCCTGCTCTATCTCCAATATCTTTTGGCAGCTCAGATAAATTGTGTAGAAAACCCTTCATACATCTCTTGGCCAGATTACTTTCTCTCACTGATTAATGCCTTTGGTCTGGCTTTCCTGAGCTATTTTACCAAAAAATTTCAGTCTTTGTTTAAGTGTTTCCTTCAGGCTCTGCACTAGTGGTGACCCAGTCGTCTCTGATGAAGCTCCTTCAGCACATGAGACCCTAACACCAGGCACCTCCAGTAATCTCCATACTTTCATATATGTACCTGCAAACTTTGTCTAATCTTCCTGGGCTTCTGACCCTGGTCATACACTTCTTACATTAACAGATGTCCTCTCATCATCTTCTGGTTATCTAAAATATACTTCTGCCTCTTCCACATCTTTGAAGTATCTCTTCTACTACCATGACTTGCAGTAATTTATTTCTGAGCTCATTTTTTCCACCTCACCCAACCCTGCCACCAGTTATCCATCAGTATCAACAGCAAGGCACTACCTTTTAATCTTTAAGCTTTCTTCTAATTTTTTTACAAATCACTTGCACTGTAAAATATGCTATTACTCTCTATACAAAGAGTGAAAAAAGGAAATTCTTGCATCCTGTCTCATTCCCAGCTCTCCTGTCCCTGTTACCTTCTGGCCAGGTGACACACCCTGCTGTTACCATTTCTGCTGCTGTGCCCAGGCAGACGATCTTTCAGTCGTGTTGTGAGCTCACAGTCTATCAGGTAACATCATTCAAAGCCCACTGAGAGCAGGCAGCTGCTCCCTGTCCCCCCCCCCCCTTCATCCCCCCCCCCCTCTGTCTACTCAGTGCCATCAGTGTCCAGGCAGGCATGAAAATGAGAGCTCTGCCTCTTTCCTTCTCCCTACAGAGCAAATGAAGGAAGCATCACAAGGCTCAAGCACAGCCTCTTCTGCAAGAGCACAGAAACCCCCCCAGCCCTGAACACCCCAATTGCTTCTTACACATACCCTGTCTCTGAAAAGGAAAAAAATCTTTTTCCACACCCTGGAATCTGAAGTCATTCCTCTCTGCTTTAGTTTCCTACAGTCTTTTTTTCTTCTCTTACAACTTGATGATACAAGTTTCACATTTAAATTCTGTGTGTGCAGGCTTTGTTTACAAGTTTGTGCTTTTTTACTTTTAGCTCCCCACCTCTCTAACGTAATTCTGCCTGAGCTCCTTTTGTTAGTCTTTCCAAACCTCACATAGGTCATCACCAGTTCCTCTCTGAAGTGAGCCTCTTTTCACCACTTTCTTCTGCTATGCAGCTTGTCCCAATCTATCTACCCACCAAGGAAAATCACCCTCCCATTTCTTTCTCATTAAAGCATACTCTTACCCAGAACCTTTCTTTTCCCATTTCTAACGAATATTGTTACTCATTAATCAAAAAAAGATAAGATAAAGGCAGTCATGTTTCAATTATTTCTGTTTGCTCTCTTGTTTGGGGGTTTTAAACAATGCTTGGAGTAAGCAATATTCTATAGTTTGCAAACCACAGAATACACTTATAGCACCTACTATCAAAATATTGTTTCAAGAATAAAATTCATACTGAAATAGACTAAAGAAATTAAATGACATTTCAGACACATTTGAAAGCCCATGCTACCTACAATCTGAGGTTGAAATCTTCAGTTACATTATTTGGAGAGGATCATTCATTTTCATTTGCAAAGAGCCTCTCATTGGAGCACTATAGAATATAATTATTAAAACTCACAAAACCTCCGCAGATACAGGTTAGATAAAGAACAATAGGAAGGCTGCTTTCCACAAAGAAAGGATAGTTATTAAAAAAGATTTTAAGTTGGCACAAAACTAAAAAGGCAAAAAAATAATAAGACTTAAGCAAGCATAGCATAAACAACTCATACATTAATAATTTGTTCCATGATGAAAACTAAACCACAAGCCAAAGCTTTCCTTCATCAGCAAACAATGCGGAAAACCCTTCCAGTCTATGTTATAGGTGAAACACCTTCTTGAAAACATATCAGATTATGCATGGGATCTCATTTGGGAACTCTAACAGCTACAGACAGAGGAAATAATGTATGCTCTCAAGATATAGGGAGTCTTTGCACAAAAAACCTTATAATGCACAAGCACTGCATGTAGGTTAAATTAAGAATGAATAAAATCACAAGACAGAGCCATCTACTTCTAACATCTAAAATACACATTACTTTCCAAAATCCAGTTATTCATGCAAGTTTTCCTCAGTCTGACAATAGAATAAGCACTTGTACTGTCTGAATTAAAAACAAACAAAAATCCACCCCTCAAAACTCCGTCAAATTACTTGTTTCCTCACAAGTAAGTTTTCCTTTTCTCTGTGTAAAATATAACCGAGATGTGACAAGAAAAAAAAAAATGTTTCAAGTATTATGACTTAAAATAATTTGTGCAAATAATTCTAAACCAATCTCCTTATATCTGCAAGACAAACATCTGAAAGAGTCCCAAACCATCTCTTCCTCCTCAGTTTATATATAGCACTGTATGTAAGTATCTCACTGTTTCCTAAGATTATCAGTTGGCTTCATCTTTGGAGTGGAGTACAGGAAGTAATAAAAGCTAAAACATCTTGAGAGTTTTTCACTCTTTTGTGTTTAAGCACATACTTTTTACAAATGCAACAAATAGTGCCCATGCACCAAAACAATCTCTTCCCAATAACCTGTGTACAGCTAGACACATCTATTTACAAGGTATTTCCAAGTTACATGGAAGTTCAAGACAGGCAAAGGAAAAAAATACTTTAACTGAAAAAGTACTATCTTTACTTTTGTCCAGTTCCCTATTAAAAGAAATTTTAAAATCACTTCTATAAAACAACACACTGCTTTCCTCAAGGCTGCTTTTACTAAAAGAAGTGGGCAGCTTTAAAAGTAATACAAAGGGAAGGGCAGTGAAGACCTCTGTAGATAAGAAAGATGCAGTCAATGTAGACAGAATAATTTCTAAACATTATTTATTCAGTTTGAAGATTCTGACACTCACTGTGCTCTGAAACAACCTCCAGCTGCCCCAAAGAACTCTGACAGAATACCATGATTCCTACCAAGAGAGACTTTAAAACCACCATCTCTTATCTGACATTGTAGAGGGGGAAAACTAAGCAAAATAAATCAAAATTTAGCCACCTCTTTAAGAAGTTCTCTGCAAGCAAAACGGTTAAGCAGAAGATACTCTGATATAGGAGCCAACAAGTCCCCACCAACTTGTTAAGATCTATTCCTCTAAGACTCTTTCAGAGGCAACAACAATATTTTGTAGAAAAAGATTTACATGACCTCCTCCTATCATGAATGTGCACTACTTTCTGCTCTGTTAAAAAACAAGGAAAAATAATTCAGGGAAACTATAAAGGGCAACCAGTAAGGCAGAGAGCAAAGAAGAAAATCTCTCTGCTTGTCATTTCAGACAGCTGATGAGCAAGTAAAATGGGTACTCCAGTACCCAGCTAGTGTAAACTGGTCTTAAAAGGAGAAACACTGAGAAGATGGCACAGTACACACTGGCACACACACCCCTACACCCCAGGTGGGGGAAATACATGTTCAAAGCTCTTCCAGTAAAGACAGTCTTAAATGGCCAAAATTACTCACAAGCAGTGAGTAACTCACAATGCCCAGGGAGCTGCAGGTTCATCAACATCTTACTCAGACTTCCACTGTCATGCATACAGAGTCTGAGGAGTTCATCACAAGAGCAAGGGCCAGGGAAGGTGGGACTAAACTGGCAGATCCTTCAGTAGAATTCAAACAGAATTTGAGAAATGAGGGACAAGAAACTGTGAAGGGAGGCTAGGAGGGATGATGCCTCCCATTCCCACTTTCCTTCTTCTCTCACTCTCCCATGTTCTATAGATTATTCCCCTGTGCACCCCTTCTCCTTCAGAAGCTCCTGGACTTTCCTCTCACAGGTTTAATCCATCCCCAAACAAGCAAGCATCCTCTCCTGTCCTCCTGCCCACACAGCCTTCTCTCAGGCTCCTCATCCTGGGGGAGGAGAAGGGTGGAAAGGAAAGGGAAAGAATCCAGACCCAGGTTTAGCTTCCAAAAAGGACTTTGGACACTTTAAGCATAAAGGACTGTCCTGGTGAGCAGAGCTAGCAGTGGTACTCACATTAGGACTGAACACTGGGAATCAGCCTCTCCCTCGCCATTACAGAAGCCTGCCCTCACACGTGCAGTGTCTTGGGGAGCTGGCTCAGACCTGCTGGTGCTGGGGAAAACAT